TTTTCTGCTGTGACCAAATAAAGAATAGCTACTTGAGCAGCCTCTTTACGAACGTTTTTAAGATTCCATTTTAAAGATTGTGAAAAGGATAAATACCTGCATTCAAGAATGAATCAAATGAAGGAACTCCCTTTTGGCACTCAGTGCTTGGAAGCCACAGTAGTTGGCTGGTTTCTTGCAACTATAATGTCTTTTACTGTGTGGTGCTGACGTGCAGAAACTAATACAATATTCCTTTGGAGTTGAAATATTCAGTACCAGCCAAATTCTGGGGTAGTGTTAAGCCTTAATAAAAAATAATTTAGGATTCATAAATCTGATATGTACTCAAAATATTTTTATCAAGTAACAGTGAAAGATGCTTCTTTTCTAACCAGCATATTTTTGATGTAAAATGAGCTTCAAGATTTTTCTGTAAGGCTACAGTATTTCCTAATTACTCAGTGTTGCCATACTGAGACAGAAGCACTCTGCAGTACTATTTTTGGAAGGTTTTCAGACTTTAGAGTCTTGATGAATTTGTCTTTGTGAAGATTTTGCACTCATATCTGTATTCTTTGCAGCTGTCATGGAGGAGTTGGTGGAGGATGACATCTGTATTTTGAACCATGAAAAAGCAGACCATGCTCATAAGAGAGATGGGGAGGTTCCTGTTTCATCTTACAGCGGAGATGAGTCTGTTGCCTCGCATTTTGCACTTGTCACTGCTTATGAAGATATCAAGAAACGGCTGAAGGAGACAGAGAAGGAGAACTCCTTCTTAAAGAAAAGAGTGAGGCTTCTAGAAGAGAAGGTAAGAAAAGAGTCAGTTTACAGCTTCTGGTAGCAGCTACTGTTTGGATGGCAGAGCAGATGGTTGTGTTTCATTTGTTTAAGTGAAACCCCATTTGTTCCTCTGGTAGTTTAGTTATCTCCTACTGGGATTTCTGATTCCTACTGGGCATGTGTGTGATGCAGTGCAACAGTACCCTGCTAAGACTGTGGCTTGGACTCAGACATGCATTTGCACTGGATCGTTACTGTATATCATCTGCCTCTTTATGGTGTTAATTGACTTGGGCACACGTGACTCGGCACCTCGCTATTCAACAATACTAAGTCTGTAAATTATTAGACCCCAGAAATTGTCTATTGAAAGAAACTCTTGGGCTCCGCATACCGAAATGATGGGAAAAAGTGGTTGTTGAGAACAGCTGGTTAGGTCTGTCTAACAGCAGTTTCAGACATGAAATACCAAGTTGTGGTGCTTAAGGTAGAGGTGTTGGCTGGCTGTCCTGGTTTAGGCAACAAACCAGCCGCTTTCTCACTGCTGCCCTTGGTGGGATGGGGAGGGCAAAATATAATGAAAAAACACTAGTGGGTCAAGACAAGGACAGGGAGGGATCACTCACCAGTTATGGTCATGGGCAAAGCGGACTCGGCTTGGAAAAAATCAATTTCATTTGTTACCAACCAAATTGGAGCAGGATAACACGAGATCTTAAAACACCTTCCCCCCACCCCTCCATTCTTCCTTTGTTCAGCTTTGCTCCCCGTTTCTCTACCTACTCCCCCCAGCAGCTCAGGGGGACAGGGAAAGGGGGCTGTGATCAGTCCATCACATGCTGTCTCTGCTGCTCCTTCCTCCTCAGGGGGAGACTCCTCACACTCTGCCCCTGCTCCAGTACGGAGTCCTCCACAGGAGACAGTCCTCCACCAACTTCTCCAATGTGAGTCCTTCCCATGGGCTGCCGTTCTTCACAAAATGCTCCAGCTTGGATCCTTCCCACGGGATGCAGTCCTTCAGGAGCAGCCTGCTCCAGCCTGGGTCCCCCATGGGGTCACAGCCTCCTTTGTGTATCCCCCTGCTCTGCTGTGGGGTCTCTCCCTGGGCTGCAGGGTGGGGGTCTCTGCTCCACTGTGACCCTCCATGGCTGCAGGGCACAGCCTGCCCTCTCACCACGGGCTGCAGGGGAACCTCTGCTCCAGCCACCTCCTCCTGCCTTTCCTTACTGACATGGGTGTGTCTGCCTTGTCATCTCTCACATCCCACTCCTCTCTGTCTCTCTGCTGCTTGTCTTAGTTTCCCCTCTCAAATATGTCAATCACAGAGGCGCTAATTGGCTTGGCTGTGGCCAGAGGTGGGTCTGACTTGGAGCTGGGAAAGCCTCTAACATCTCACAGGAGCCATCCCTGTAGCCCCTCCCCTGCTACTAAAACCCCAGTACACAGACCCAATACACTGTCTATTTTTGATGCAGTTGTTCTAAACCGTAAAGGAATCTAGGAATTTGTTTTGTGTGCAGCTTCTCATGGCCTTAGTCTCGTGAGGTTCACTGAAGCTAAAAATTGACCGTGATGCAGGCTGTTCTGGAGCAAAGCATGCTCTTGCTAAATATACATCGTCGTTCAGTAGCGGGTGTTTTTGTGCTGCGGAAGGTCTGGATTCTGACAGATTGCTTTCTTATTAGTGTCAGATGGACAGCTATATCCTAGGGGCAGAGCTGAGACACTTGTTCGGACCTAGTCCTGCGTATGTGCTTCTGACTCCTAAAAGCTTACAAAGCGTGCGGCACTGGCATGAAGAGGCTGAGCCGCACTTGGTACCATTTCAAAACACTCAGTCAGGAATTCTTGGTGATTGGTTTGATAGAATTGACTTTCTGTCAAAAGGCGAAACTCTGATCGCTTTCTTCATACAGGGCCCTGAGTGGGGACAGGATTAGAGGTCTAGGCTGAATGTTCTCTGAACCGCGCCACGTGTAACGTCCCTTACGCGGTTACGCAAATCCAATACGTAGGACTCGGTGACTGTGACGACCGACCCCTTTTAGTCTTGTGTATTCTGGTGTGGCCTGGTTCACTCTGTCTTGGAGATGATACTTTTGTTTTTTGGAGAGAAAACTGTTATTTGTGAACCGAAGTTCCTAGGTTTTTGTTACTTGTTTTGTTTGTATGTGAATACTGTAAAAATCTTTCTAAGAAGAGGGGGCTTTGTGCAGGCCAAGGCCGTCAGGTGATGGAACTGACTTTCGGTCTTTGCTAAAGGCTCGTCAACCTGTACGGTAAAAACTACACAGGGTGCTGTGCTCCCCTTGAGTTTTACACTTCAGAGTGCATGGAAGCTTCCAGAAAGGTTGGTAAGGCTTATGTTCTGCCTGAATGGCTTCATTTGGGGAGGGAGGTGGAATGTTGAGGACAAAACTTAAAATGAGTAGTATGCTTACTCTGAGGGTCAGTGACAAAATGAGGAGCAGAAGGTTCCTGTTTTTATGGCTTGCTTTCCTGAACTTTTCAATTGAACACCTAAATGAAGAGGTGTTTAAGGTAGATACATTCGGTCACCCTTGGGTTTTTTGTGGCTCTGAAGTTAAAGAAAATAAATATAAATCTGCTGCAAATATCTAGTTACACTTTGTGTGTTTAAATGCCTCAGTTTAGAGCACGTGAGCAGGATAAACAGAATGCAAAGGATAATGCAGTACTTGGTCAAAACAATCCATTTCTGTATGGACAGATGTAACTTTTTTATTCCTAAACTTAAAGAAAAAGCTGAATCAGTCAAATGCTACAGACTGTACTACTGCACTTCTAATATTTTGTGGTTCTTGATTATAACATCTGAAACTCCTTATTTCTCATGTTTGTTAAACTTTCAGCTGCTTGGCTCCCGACTGGAAGAGGAATGTGGTTCAGTTGGACGGGAACAAGTAAATAAGGCATACCAAGCCTATCGAGAGGCCTGCATCGACCGAGATAATCTGAAAAGCAAACTGGATAAAATGGTACGCCTCTTCCAGTATTGACCTCAATGCATGTTGTGTGAGTCCTGCATAGGTAGTAAATGTTTACTGTGGAATTAATTTTATTTGCTGGGTATCTGTGGTGTTTGTTTTATTACTCCTTTGGGTTTTTAAATTACGTGACCATACTTTATGGAGGAATAATGATAAAGTATCTCAACTTTATTACTGGGCTAGACTAATGCTAAAAAAATAAAGGTGTGGGTTTTTTTGTTTGGTTGGCTGTGGTGGTTTTTTTTTTTTTAAGTTGCCAAATATGGTAGAAAAAAGTTTCACAAATGTCTTTCCCTCCTCCCATCCCCAAAAAACAGATGAAAGAAAATGCAGAATCCTTGAAAACCTTGAATGAACAGCTGCAGTCTAAAGAAGTAGAGCTGTTACAGCTGAGAACTGAAGTGGAAACTCAACAAGGTATGTGTTTGTTTGCTTCATCTTAATGTATGCTGACTAGTCTGAGGGGTTGTATTACGATCTTGGGGCGTGAAGAGGGTTAATCCTGTGTAGTGGCTTGGTAAGACGGGAGTGTGCTGCAGTGAGGCACCTTGGGCTTGTATCTGTGTTCATTCCTGCACGGGGTGACAGGCGTGTCTTACTGTCACAGGCAAGCAGCTCCATGGTGAAGAGCTGAGGCTGTCGTGTTCCTCCACTATAGGGTCTTGAATAATCTGAGAAACGTGCACAAGCTGACAGTTATTAGGCCAGCTGTGTACGTCTCTGGACCCCAGCACATCTTCCTCAGAGTGGGCTGGGGGCACACTTGGGCAGGTGTCAACCACTCCCCAGTTGATGCCACTTTCTCTGGCACCTGCAGCTGACCTGGTATGTGGTGGTGTTTCACTGCTGGGCTACGACAGGTACGGGAGGATGTGGTACAGCAGTAGCTGAAGTTGACAACAGCCATTCAAAGCGCTGGGGTTGAGGAAAGGTAGAAGGATGCTGGTTGTAGAGAGGCTGGTGGAAAGAGAAGCAGTGTATGCTGCTAGTTCTGAAAGCTCAGATCAGCTTTTGTTACCGCATTTGTAAAGAGTGCTGTGTAGATGACATGTATGTAAAATAAACCACAGTGGAAGAAAAAAAAAAGTCGTTATTAATGCACTGTTACAAGAAGAGACAAGAAGAAAATGCCATGTTAGAGATATGGACGAGACTTCAGATTCTGTACAAATGCTGTTGTGGGAAGGGTGCTTGTAAGGATTGCTGGCCTTGAATTGGGTTACTTTCCAAGAGGACTTCAGTGGCACAAGTTTTTAAACCTAGAAGAACAAACCACATGTAGTAGATTTGTCATTGTTGAGGACACCATGGTTTTGGGAGGTAAGAAGTGCAGAGTTCATGAAGAGGGCACTGAAAATGATGATTGCAAGCCTTACTCAGTAATCACTTTTACTCATTAGTGGGCTCTGAGTACATTGTTTAAGAAAAATCAGGGTAGCTTAAGCTTGTTTAAATTGTTAACTCTGGAAATAAGCGCGTACTGTGCAGTTGAGGACTTGGGGGTGTTCTTCCTGTCGTGTTCATCCTTTTCTTGCTGTCTCACCAGCTGCCTCCTGCTGATTTCATGCTGGGATTGTCTTAGTTTGCCTTTTCGTAGAGACCATGTGAATTTGGTGTGTCCAGTAAGACTTGAGTAACTTCCAGACTTCACCCCTTCATTCTGATTGTGTCTTTTGGAGTTCTGTTTGGAACTTCTGGATATTAAACTTGAAGAACTTAGGGTAAATTATGTAGGTAAGAATCTGAGGGAGGGAGTGGCTCAGGTTTTCAAGGCACGTGAGGAGTCTGCAGGTTGGTGTGTGTATCATGTGTTTGCCACTAACAGAGTTTTGTATTTCCACTGCCTTTTCGTGTCGTTACTTCTGTTTTCTTTATGGAAGATCTCCAGTGTGTTCTTGGAAAGCAGGTCTCTGTTCTTGAAACTTGGAAAACAGACTACTTCTCTGCCAACAACTTTACCAGTTTCTCTGTCATAGACTGCAGTTCCTCCAGAACGTACAGCATTGGTTTCTGCAGGGCATGGGCTGGTTACAGTGAAACCTTACGCACTGAGTTACGTTTCTTGAACGGAGTCTGAGATCCGATTGTCTTGTTTGTCGTCTTGCAGTGATGAAAAACCTGAACTGTACTCAGTCCAGCTGGGAAATAGAGAAGCTGAGCAGTGACCTGAAAGTGCGTAGTCTGGAACAGGATCTGGAAGAGCTCAGGCAAGAGTGCAACAGTCTCAGAAATGAATTGCAAAAATCCAAGCAGAAGGTACCTCTATTTTTAAGGAATTCTTGTATTAATAGATTTGTCTGTGTTGCAACATTGTTTTAAATACCTTGTACAAGCGAAGTGAAGGTTAAGCAAAGAAATTTGAAATATATAATTGAGTGAAAGATGGACTGCTAGTAAAAATAACCTTAGATATAAACCCATAGACTGGCTTGTTTCTTGGAAATAGCACACTTGCATAGGTGAGATTTCCCCACCCCTGCCCACATCATGACAGAAAATGAAGTTTTGCAGTTCCTTGAAAGTAGCTGCTTGGATCCAAGTGTCCTCTGCTGGTATTTGCCTTGGGATGGACTTGGAAAGTTTGGGCAAGATCTGGTTTGTTTGGGGTGGGTTGGTTTGTTTTTCTTTTATACCACTAGAATGCTTTTGCTTGAAGATAGCACCAACTGTGTTTAAGGAGCTCTAGCACAGCAGCGTAGCTGTGTGAAGCTTGTCAGGAAAGTGGATTTCTCTCTAACAAGGTTTCCAGAATCTTCTTGTACCTGTGTTGGTGCTGCTTACTGTTCAATCCAATGCATGGATTGTCTCGTCTCGGGTTCACTCTGTGTTTTTTCCACTAGGTGGGGATAAAGCCCATCACCTGGAAGGCGTGTGAGGTGTTTCCTTAACTTCCCTTACTGCTGGTTGTTGTCCTCCCTCGTAGCTGGCATTTCTTGGTGCTTTCAGTAACCTGTACATCCTGAAGGCACCGCGTAACTTGTGTGCAGTTCTAGCGTCTTCCGGTAGCTCTGCAGAATGGAGTAGCAGCTGTGTAAATAGCTGGAGATGGCAGATTGTGCTGCCAGTGAATGCTGCAGGAAAGAACAGGCTGACGTTGCAGTAGTAAGCAATGCTAGACATGCCACTGCCGCGGTAACGCTCCTGTCAGCAGCTTGGGTTGCAAAGGACAAACGTAAGGAACACCTCCTTTCCTTAATGTTGCTGCTCCTCGATCCTGCTTACTGTGCAATACAGGAAGTAAAAAGGTAGACTATTTCAAATGTGGGGCGATACAGCACAACCATTTTAGTCTGGTTCTAACCGTGGAATTGAATCTGATGGGGGTGGTGGGAAAGGCTTCAGGAGGGGGAAGAACTGCCAGGTGAAATTCAGGGAAAGGTGATCAGTGGGCAATGGCAAGTCAGTGTTGTTTCAAACCCAGATGCGGTTTTCGTCGTTACTGGTTTTAAACACCTTAGTTTGCATTTTCAGCTGTTTTCTACCTCAGGCGAGTGTATGTTCCATTGTTACCTGGGTTTTGCACTGTAGTTGGGGCACTGTGTGCGCTGTATGCCATGTTGGGTATCGTGATGCCACAGTAGGTACCAGATTCGTAACAGCTTTGGCTGGAGGGGAGAGTAGTGGGAAGGGAAAGTCAAGAGAAGGGCTGGAGTGGGAGCTCATCGGGGTGAGGGCGTACCAGAAGGATGACTGGCGACGCAAGGCTGATGCCTGGGTTGCTACGCAGTCCCGTTAACTGCAGTGAGGCTGCTCGTGTGCAGGCTTTAAAGCAGCCTTTCAGACTCAAGGGATAAGTTACGTTCTGTCGTTACAGTACCTTGTGGATGTAAATCTGTACTTTTTTAATGGAAGTCAAAAGCCTGTCTCAATTTTCGTGTTTTAAAGAATCACTAATTTGGTGAGCTCAGCTGTTTTAGAAAAGAAAGGAGACAGAGTATGGTGGTGGCTGCGCAATGTTTTCATACAAGTAGGGAATTTAAGCATTTTTAAATGGTGATTCTTAGTCTCATATCTATTTTGAAAACTGCTGCAGCCAACATAAATGAAGACTGCTTTAATTCTGAATTTTAGTATTGAGTAACTTGTAGTTTTCACTGCAGTGTTTTCAGATAGAAGATCTGAAATCTTATGTTCATCCCTTCTCTGTCTTCCCCTCCCTCTGTTATGCAGGACCAGACTCAAGACAAAAATCCGTTAAATGGAGACCTTCTGGGCCATGACATCCAGAGGTATGAAAATCAAGCAGCTTTCATGTTTCATTTTTACTTTACTGAGGGACAGTTATTCAAACAAGGAACTATTCTTGGTCATGTTATTTCAAATTACATAATCTAACTTCAAGCCTAGGTATGCAGACTGAACAAAATCACTGAGGGTTTTTTTTCCTTGTTATGTTGGTAGTCCAGGATGATGATGATGATACCAAAACACCTACAGCTTGTTGTACAGAAAATGAAAGTTCAATTATCTTGTATTTAAAGATCAGCTTTTTAATAATCAGTTGACTTGAGAAGGTGGTAGATGAGTTTCTAAGTCTGGTCCCAGCTACAGAATAGCTTCATTCCGTGTATGGGGAGGTTTCTGCCTTCGCATAAGAAAGATTGGCAGAAAAAAGCCAATGTATCCGAAAGCATGTGTTCTCATTTTGCAGCCATTCAAATCACAGTTGTGCTCACGATCTAAATCCTCTACTCTCCTGTCCGGAGCATGTGTGCCGTGTTAGGAAGTGTGAGCATGCATCCTTTAACTCTTTATGCAAAAGAACAACTAACACAGGGAAGTCACCACGTGTTGTGTCTTGCGAATGAGAAATGCTAACTGTGTCCCTTATCCCCCATGAGGCCTGTTGGTGCACTTCCGCGAGTGCACCACACAAGGGAAGAGTGCTCCTTCCCACAGACAGCTGCTTGGGCGCAGTACCTTTGGGTGCTTGGCCGCTGAAGAGCTGGGGAAGGGAATAATCAGTGGCTGAGAGAGAACAGCACACGCAACTTCTCATGTTTCCCCTGGTGTAACGGTGCTAACAGCGTACACACCATACACAAGGTACGCTTTCCCCTGGGTAGCTAGCTAGTCCGTTTGCGGTTCCTGCTGGAGCTTTGTAGCCAGTCTTATGCCTGAAAAAGGCGTTACCTCAAGGCAAAGCATCGGACTCTTTCATCTCGCAGAGCAGATTGATTCCACAGAGATGTGCAGGTGGCAGCCATGCGAATTAGCACAGGTCTGGCGTAGTGTTTATTGTAACCTGGCATAAATAACAAGTGAGTGCCCAGTGCATAAGCCTGTCCAGAAATCTGTGGAAAACCCCTTGAAAAACCTCCTGTGTGAAACACTTGTTGTAGCAAGCAGCTCTGCTGCTTACGGGAGGTGGAGGTGCTTGCTGTTGGCTAACTCTCTGGAAATTAATGATTTCACATTTGTCAGCTGCCTGTAGGTCTGACTTCAAACTCTCGGCCTGCAAATCTCCATTGCTGCGGACTTAGCCAGGCTGTCAGTCCCGGTTTGCCTGACGTGTTAGAAGGCAGTACAGGATAAACATCCAAGCATGTGGAATCCTTGGGTTTCCACTGCACATTCCTTGAAAATGAGGCTTTGCAGTGGGATCCTGGGCCAGTGTGCTGGTTTTGGTCAGGACAGGAGTTTGAGTGGCTGCGTAGTACTCAACAGCTAGCTGGGGTTAAACCACGGCAGTCAGTATCCACAAACCCAGTTAAACTACGTGGGATTTAAGTGGAATTCTGGTACCTGCATCCCTTTGCAAGATGCTTTTAAAAGCGCTGAAAGCACGTCACACAACTTTATCCGAGTGCTTTCCCTCTGGTCGGTGGCAGGCACGGCGCTGGTCCGATGTTTACCGCTTCTGAGTATAAATATATTTATCAGGCCGTTCTGTTTTCATATAACTACAATTTGTTTGATCTTATTTGTGAGACCAAAGCAGATGAATAAATGAAGTGTGGTTCCACATCAACTTTATTTTGAAATTGTCATCTCTTAAAAGAACCGAGTGGGTCCTGCAGTGAAAAGGCCACAGGTTTAGCTGAATGTCTCGAAATACCAGTTCTGAAAATTTTAACTGTCTGTCTCTCAGAACTGCTGACACCTAATGAACTATCAGCTTCCTCTGTTCTTTAACAGAGTTTCTGAATCTGAACTTCTATGCTCGGGGGACATACTTCTGTGCGTGGGAGGAAGTTGAGAGTCCCATGTCAGAGGGACATAAATCTGTGTATGTGCATGAAAGCACACAGACCGTCCATGGAAGTACAGTTGTTACACAGCTTGATAGTTCCTGGTCATCTCAACAAGAGTGTGGGTGACTGTTTGCAAATAAATGTCTTCTGGGTGAATGTGGTGAGGAGGAAAGAAACATTCTGAAAGCTCTCATCCACGGTACTTGTCCTCAGTAAATGTGTTCTGGTAGAAGGTTAAGCACTAAAAAAAAAATTCAATCAGTAACTGTATCCTTTGAACACCAAGGTAACTCGTCACCAATGTAAAGGTGGTGTTCGGTGAGCCTTTGCTCAAAACTTTTACCGAGAAACCCACGGTGATGCTGACTCTTGTGATTTTTGGGGTTTTCTCCTTTATTTTCTTACTGGCTAATAACCTGAAACCTCAGTGTTGGAGGGGTGCTGCTGTTGCTAAACCTGTTTCCTCGTGTGATGCTGTCTCATCAGAGGAGGAGTCAGGGTGCTGTGCCCTTACCCTGACACGGCAGGGTACTGGCATAAACGGGATGACGTGAACACGAAACACTACGGTTTGTGTTTTAGTTTGGGCTGCATGTGGGTGCCAAGTCTGCATCTCTGGTATCTGGTCCAAATTCACTGTAGCAGAACGGATGGTGTAAAGAACCAGATACTGATTCTGACTGAGTATTTAAAACTATGGTCAATGAACATTACTAGGATCCTAAGTGACCCCCCCCACCGCCACAGCCATTCAAAGTGAGTGTTCTACCTTCCTTGCAGTCTGGTGTCCACAGAATAGATTGCTTTAACAGTATTCCTTGGAGATTACTAATTTAATGGTAAGATGGTGAGTTTCAAATAATGAAATTGGGGAATATGCTTCACGTTTCTTTCCATTTGGGGAACTCTGAAATTACCAGTATCATCAGGCATGTTAATACGTGCTCCATTACACACTGTAACGTGCAGGGGTCTGTCAGTTTAAGGTAAGTGTCCGTACTGCTCGGGTCACTGTGGTATGGTGGTCTGGCACAACCCATTTATTAACAGTTGGTGCTCGAGAAGCTTGTTGGTAGGTGTGAGGGTGCCTTAGAGGTGGTAATTAACTTTTAAAAACCCCTTTGTTTTGAAAGCGTGCAACAAGCGTACTGGGAGCTGAGGAGAGAGACGTCTCATCTGCGCCTAGTGACTGACATGCAGGCCGAGGTTCTGCGGACACTGAAAACAACCCCAGCAGCCACCAAGAAAGGCAAGTCCGTGTGGGCAGCAGCAGACCTTACAAACACGAACCCTCAATTCAAGCTCTGCCATTTAAAAAAGAAACCAGCTATCCTATCTTATCAGAATCTCATCAATTGAAGCTGATAAGCTAGGCTGGAGGATGGTTCCAGCCTACCCATTTTCTGCTTTTGCTTCTGTCTCAAACTGGTCAACTTCACACATAAAGGTGTTGCTGATGTGTTTTTTTTTCGGTACTGTATTCTGTTCCCCTTGTGGCTTTTTTCTCAGTCAAGTGTTGCTTATGTGCACAAGGCTGAGGTGTTAAGTTTGCTCGTATTTGACCTTTTACCACAAATACTTCGTATTAGAGGAAAAGAAATCGTTTTTCAAATGCAGTCTTAGTTCTCCAGTAGAGAATATATAAAGTAATAATTTGGCAACGTTTTAAAAGCGGGCTTTAACCGCATGAAGTTCCTCTGTGGCTGTGTATTTCTTCACGTTGCCATTCAGAGAAGGTGCCTGTTCTAGCAAAATGCTGCGCAAGGTGACATTTTCTAAATGTCACCTACTGAAGCTGCAAAACCACCTGGTTTCTGTTCCCACATGGCAAATAGTTAAGGAAAAAAAGTAATTTTCACATAAAGTCTGTGTAATTTCCGTTTTTCAGCAGTTGGTCCTTCCGTGTCCCACGTACGTGTCCCAAGCGCTTTAGGGAAGAGAAGGGGTTTGCTCCGGCGGGGCCAGGCTGTCGGTCTGCTTATCGCTCGGTGAGGTACGGCCAGGATTCACCTCCAGCTCGGGCCTTTGGCGGTGGCTGGCAGCAGCGGCTGATAAACCGTCAGTGCACCGCATAGGCTTGGCTGTACGGTCACCAGGTGAGTCTGCGTCCCTGCGCTTCTAAGGTGTGTTGGTTAAATGACTTCAGCGGAGGAAGTGGGAAGTGAATGAGGTTTTAACCTGTCGGGGTTTGATGTGATCACGGAGCATCCTTCTGTTGCTTGTAATTAGGAGTTACCTGTCTGGCCACTACACAAGTACTGATTTTTCTCTTCTACCCAGTGAACAGTCGGATTTTCTGAGGTTGCTGGCGCAGTCAGTTGTACATCTGTGGCTGTAAGAGACATGGTTGATTGATTGGGAAACGAGGGATTTTGCCCTTTGCTCTGCAGGCCTTTTTTCAGTGGTTTCTC